ATTGTAATACACACGCATGATCATGCGTGACACTCGTTGGAGCTGGATGGTATGAAATTGCCATAGGACAATTTACTGTATTATACTATACTTTACTATACTGTACTATACTATACTATACTAACTATACTATACTATACTATACTATACTATACTAAATACTATACAATACTAAATACTATAGTATACTATACTATGCAAAATACTATAGTATACTATACTATACTGTACTATACTATACTATACTATGCAAAATACTATAGTATACTATAGTATACTGTACTATACTATACTATACTATACTATACTATATTATACTATACTACACTATACTATACTATACTATACTAAATACTATACTATATTAAATACTAGACTATACTATACTAAATACTATACTATACTATACTAAATACTAGACTGTACTATACTAAATACTAGACTGTACTATACTAAATACTATACTGTACTAAATACTATACTATACTAAATACTATACTGTACTAATAACTAATCATAGGATCATTCCACCTAATAACCTGTTTTTTGTTTATTCCGCTACCGCTGTTTCATACCTTCCGCCTCCAACGAGTGTTGCGCACGATTATGAGTGTGTTTTACCATTGTTGAATGTTTATTTGTTTTGTATTGTATGAATGTATATACATATCAAATTTCATTAAAACAGGTCCAGTAGTTCCAGAGATAATCGCCCAAGTCTGCGAATTTTCATAAGTCCTTACACCAGTGTATTTCACAGTAAAAAATTTTTAATAATGATATTCACTATTTATATTCAATTGTTTGCTTCATTCCTTTGACGCAAAATATTTATTAAGCATATTTTTCAAAATTTTTCATTATTTTGTAATAATTTAGGACAAAAGAAGAAGAAAATATTATATTTGGTATTTTTACAATTTATGGTTAGGAAATACAGCATAAAGTACCGGTGTCGTTAAAAGGTAAAATACGGCTCACTTTCAAACAAAACTTTTTCAAATTTGCTCTTATTTGCAGTAATTTCGATCCAAGAGTGAAAACACATGTGAAATTTCTTTAATTTAAAAAATCAATCATTGATAATTTTTTTAATATGAATCAAAATAAATTCAAACTACTTTTTTTACTTTTTATATTTTAGTACAAATATAATAATTCCGATAATCTAACTTATTTTTTATAACAATTAGACTGATTTTTATCATTAAAAAATACCAAAATATATTTTTGCTTGGAATTAGAGCATCAGAAAAAAATACGTTAAAGGGGCATCGGTGTTACATTTTCGGCAAAGGGTAAATTAGCCTGAATAAGGTTAGGTTAATTTATGGAAAAACATAAAATAGGAAGTTACAAAATTTTTCAAATCAAGTTTTCGAATCACAACTCTTCGACTCGACTGGCCTGCAAAATTACCTGCCTTGAACCCCGTAGAAAATCAGCATCTTCGTAATTTGATGGATTTGCGAGATCGGATTGTGGCATAAACTGGAATCGACGTATCGACAAAACTTTAGTACTTAATTCCAAACAGAATCCAGAGTCCTGAAGCTGAGGAATTACCCGATTTTAAATTATTTTTCTTTCATGATTTCTGTAGGGGTGACTTATTCTCCCTCCCCCGATGAATTTTATTATTTATAGCAATTTGATAGTTCAAAACAATAGCACTAAGTAAATCATTATATTGGGCTAGACAGCCCAGAGTGAGCCAATGCCTTCTTCTGAATTCTGCATCACTGCCTTCAATTTCTGACACTTGGGCATCCTGGATAGCAAGGATGTCAGTTTCCACTAACTCCATCCATCTCAATCTGGGCCCCTTTCTTGATTGTTAGAAGTTTATAAAAAAGATATCTTTTTTGTGGAATTTTTACCCACACTCTAAATATATGAGCTGCTTAGTTCATCCGGTTTATTTTTATGAATTTTACAATGTCTGGCTCTCTATAGATTTTACATAAGTTACATCTTCGGCTCCAAACATTGTTGATTTCTATCCTACCAAGAATGGCTCTCAAAATTCTTCTCTCCAAAATGGCTATTTTATTTTCTCCAGTTTTGGTCAGATCTCTGAGCCGCGGGTAAGTATTAATCTAATTAATATTTTATTCAGTAAAAATGTAGTATTTCTAGATAGTAATGAAGATTTAAAAAATTGTTTTTGTCCATAAAAAGCTTCATTTGCATGCATTAAATGGCTCTGAATTTCCTTGACTACTCTAAATTACCTAGCATATTATAAGGGACTTGTACGACATAATGCACCAAATTTAACTGAAACTTAATTTTTGTAAAAGAAATGAAATTTTCTTTCTGAAATTTAACTTTTCAAAAATTATTAGCGAACGGAAAAAAATGACTTATTTTCAAAATAGTTTTTTTAAAATCTTTCTCATTTAAAATATCGGATTTGCGCTGAATTGGTTGAAGATTAGATCGATTTCAGGATAATAATCGATAGATTCGACACAAGTGTTCCTCACAACTTACCTGCAGTGTACGACGATGGGTTTTGGATCGTAGCCGATTCGCTCACGGAATGTCCTCACAAATTTCACCAGCACTTGAGCAGGCTCAGGCACTCCAAAGTCAGGCCACGTTGTGAAATGGAAGTGCTTAAGTATGCGAGACTGCTCATTCTAAAACGAATAAAGAGGTAATTAATTTAGAAACCATGTTAACCACGCATCAAAAATTATATGTAGAAGAAGGTAGATAAGAGCATAAATAAACGAGTAAAAATTATTTTATAGCTGTAATAGTAAGAATTGCATATTGTTTCTTGACTATACATATTTTAAAACACATTTTCTTTTAAATTTCAAGGAAAAGGGGCTAAAATGACATTTCAGTAAAGATTGATAAGTTTAAATAGATAAGCTGAGGAGTTTGTGTGTACTAAGCCTTATCTTTATATTTGTTCTTGCGGTATTTCTATCGGATTGCACATTACTTGACTTGTGTTCTGTTTCTGGTGGCAGTTCATGATCTAATATAACCGCCGCCAAAACAAATTGAAAGAATGAAAGTTGCCTTCTTGCATTCTAATTCTTAATAAATCTAGCTAGCAACTCTTATCTCCTTCTCTGCTGATCCTATAAGTAGTTTCCCCCCATCTTTTATGCTGCGCGAAAACACTTACTGCCACGCGATCCTGCGCGTTATCTCGCAGGTGTTTTTGTTTATAAACTAATGGCAGAAACTAGCTTTATATATTCAAATCACTACGAGCAGGAGAATCCTTCTGGGATCACCCCTGTCACGTGCTAGGTCACCACAAACAAATTACAGAAACTAGTTTCTAAATTCAAATCGGAGATTTTATCTTTCGTGGACCTCTATCTGTCAGGTGACAAAAGGGAAAAATCTAAAAAGGGGGCAACCAAAAATTTGTTTTCGATCACAGACTGTGCAAACTAGCTCTCTACATTCAAATCGTGACGAGTAGGAGAATCTTCTGGGATCTTATCTTTCGGGCTTCTAAAAACTGTCACATAGCTAGATCACGTGGCAGAATGGAAAAAAATCTACAATTCTACAAAGACAAACAAAAATTTGCTTTTGACCACAAACAAACTGCAGAAACTAGCTTTGTACTTTCAAATCTCCATTAGCAGGAGAATCTTCTGGAATCTTATCCTTTGGTGACCTCCTCCTGTCACCTGCTAGGTCACGTTGGAAAAAGAAAAAAAATTCTAATAGCACAAACAATTTGTAGTTAACAAGCTATGTGGTAGATTACATCATAGCATTGATCGAATCAGCAGGATTGAACAGTTCTTTGCGTAACTTAAAAGGCTGAAAGCAAGGAATTTTATTCTAATGTGATGTATTATGATATACCACGAAAACAAGCGATATATAAGGCTACTTAGATTCGAAGTCGCCATAAACTGCGAATTCATATCTTCTTTTTCGTTGCCTCAATGGACGGTCATGTAAAGCGTGAAATCACTAAACTAATTTGTATTTAGAAATGAAAACTAATATTAATAATCAGGGAAAAATTTCATGTGCTCAGCCCTAGGTCGAGAACAAATGCCAACAGGTTCCGATTCACGTGTGAATTTAAACGACCCATAAAATGCTACACAATAAACTTGAAAATCAGTGCTTCCTACATTACAAGTGGACATAAATCAGTCAATCCTTATTTCCCTGTCCGGTTCATCCTCATCCTCTGGGCGGTTTTGAACTAACTTTTAACCATTCTCTATGTTAAAAAAGGTTTTATCATTGAACGCACTGTACTCGCAGTGTACTTTTGTACTCACAATAGATATCCTCTATATTAATCCATGGTACTCACAAACCACTACTAATCACACCGAATTGATGCAGAGAAAAACGCCGAACAGTACACAAATGCTTTTTTCAAAATCTAGAAATGGTTATGATTCTTACCCTGGAAACTTTGAACTCAGATATGGTCCAGTGACTATATTGTGACTCATTAAGGAGAATGACTTGGATATCTCCGTAATATACAGGCTGCATATCAAAAGGCCAGTAATGATCACACTCTTCTCGGCCCTTTTCTATGCAACGAGTAAGCATAACAATGGCTCTGCAATTTTGCTCCCATATCATTCTCCAGAGGTCGTCACGAGTGCTGTGTAGGGGTCCTTGAGTCACGATGAATTCTCTTGGGGAGTTGTAACCCTGTAAAAATAAAAAAAGTCAGAATCTGAAGAAAAAATTTATAAAGTTTAATGCAGCTTTACACTGCATTTTTTAAAATTCAGTTAAGTATGGTAACTTTACAATATAGTTTTATGTAGCTTTAATAGTGTAAATTGCAATTGATCAAAAATGTTTGCTATAATTTTTCAAGTGCTTCGAATGTTCACAAAGCAATGAGATGGTGCTGCATGTTGTATCAGGATGAAGGTATCGAGTTAAGTAAAGTTGTTTACGTCAAGGTGTCTTGCAGGTTTAATGGTGTAGATTGCAATTTGCCTAACATGTATGTGATAGCTTATACCAATACAATTTCAGTTAAGTGCTTCAAATGTTGACAATGCGATGGTGCTGCATAACAATGAAATGTGGCTGCATGTTACATGATGAAGGTATCAAGTTAAGTTAAGCTACTTAACTTGATACCACTTAACGTTAAGGTTTTTTGCAGCTTCTTTCGTGATGTATCTCACATGATGATGAAGGTTTCAAATTAAGTAAAGCTATTTACATCAAAGTGTTTTACAGCTTTAATGGTGTAGATTGCAATCAGCCTAACATGTATGTAACACTTTTTCCCAATGCAATTTTAGTTAAGTGCTTCGAATGTTTACATAAAAATGAGATGGTGCAGCATGTTACATGAGGATGAAGGTATCAAATTAAGTAAAGCTATTTATGTTAAAGTTTTTTGGCATCTTTAATTGCGTGAATTGCAATTGGCCAAACATGTGTGATACTTTTTCAAAACGCAATTTTAGTTATGTGTTTCGAATGTTTACATAATAATGTTCGTATTATCAAAAAAGTTCGTATTATTGAATTATTCATTATTATATTATCATCAATATTCATTCATTATTATATTAAATTGTTGTATTATCGTATTAGTGAGATTTGATTGATTTCACACGAATTTTAAATTTCTTCATTTTAATTTTAAAATTTTTTTTAATAGTTTAGGAGGTGAGATAAAATAAGCAAAAACTGAAATTATTATTAAAAGATTATGAGTTTCAGCCTTCAGATCCCCGAACCATTATGATTGCGTGTTAAACCATAATATAACACGCTGAACAATAATATAAAATATTTTGTGAAAACCTGATCAATAAATCAAAAGTATAAAGCGTTTTTTCTTTATTTTTTATCTTTAACGCATTGCATGTACTTATATATTATCGATATTATTATTATATTGTAATCGTTATTCAGTTTTGTTTAAAAGTATTTTAAGGTAAATAATTATAAGATTAAATGATTAAGATATTCACTTCATTTGATAATGCAGTTGAAATGGAAATATCATTTATCATAATTTAATACCAAGCAAAATTCCTAATATCATAATTTAATATTAATTTAATAAACTAAGCATCGATGAAATTCGTAATAGCATTTATTAGTCCTTATTTCAATGAATAAAACAATAACATTTATGCATCTAAAAGAGTTCCGCCAATACTTTCGAATTAAACAGAGGGTAATATATTAATTAAATGGCAACCAAAATGCATGATAATTTTATTAAACGACGACAAATAAACATTACCATTTCCCGGTCATATTAATAAAGCCGACTCCGCATTGCCTCAAGCAAATCTAAATTTACGAATTTACGTCGGAATTTAACTTATAAAGTTGTCAAAGCCTCAAGTGAAGAGTTTCTATTTTAAGTCATGAAGTGTCATAGATTTTTCTGGAATGTCTTTTCGGTATTCTGATTGCCACATTTCTCAAACTTAATAAGAGATAATTATGGTTTAGTATATAGATATAGGGACATATTACTTATAGACTGGATGTATTTTTCATGTAAATAAAGCTATTATTCTTAAAAAATTTGCAAATGCTAATTTTTTATTTTTTGATGTTTAATTGTTGTAAAGAAAATAAAAATAAAAATATAAGGTAATTTTTCAGGAATTTGTAAAAATTTCTTTAAAAATTGTTTGGAATTAATTTAAAATAGTCAGGATTTTCACAAAAAAGTTTAATGAATTTTAAACTGATTGTTAAAAATTTAATACGTGTGTTTTTTTTTAATTTAAGAGCATATTCAAATTAATTTATTTAAAATACTTTTTTTCTGTTTCTATCCTTTTTTTTAATTTTTGCTTTCTTATGTTACCTATTGCTTTAAATTAGTAAGGTTTCTATTGAAACCACATCGTTGAAACTTGCGAATCTTACAGTTATATGTAAGTTATAAAACTATAATTTATCGAGTTCAAATTAGCAATCTTCACTTGAAACGCTTGGAGCAATAGAATGATAAGCCTCATTTTTACATAACTCATACTATTTTTACTATTTTTAGCTTTTTTAAAAAAAAATACGATTTCCATATAGACAGTGAAATTCTTATTCACATTGTATTATTTTCTAGTTGTAATTAGAGAAAGTTTTGAGTTTTCTGGAAACAACACTAGAAAATACTTAAGCGTAAAAATTTCACCTTTGCAAGAGCTGTGGCTTATCACTATATGTTCAAAATATCATCATTATATATTACACGTATCACAAATATCGTGCACTCAAAATATCATCGTTATAAATTATCATTATATATAACACATCATTATATAAAATTCACGACAGTGATGATTCAAACATATTATCACTATATATCCATAAATCAAAATTCGTGTAAAGCTCTATTAAATAAATTCAGTTGTACTGCAGGATAAAACGACTGAAATTTTATTGCGAACTTTAATAAAGGGAAATTTCTGATTCTTGTAAAGTATTTGTCGCAAAACAATCCTAAGAAAAATTTGGTGCAAAAACTTCACCGTTGGATCATTTCTATATAAATTTCCCCAAAGTCTTTCAAATATAAAATGATATTTCAATTCAAATTAAAGCAAAATTTCTCATATTCATTAATGTTTTTTAACTGAATTTTTTAAAAGAATAATTTTTATCTTAGGATAATTATTCTTTATTTAGAAATATCGCATTTATTTATAGTAAAGGATGTGTCCTGATGAAGACTTTTACTTTTTCCCATTAAAAGATTTTCTATCTATAAGATAAACAATCAAAACTTACTGGAATGTAGTTGGCGTTAATGTAATCTGTTCCTTCTTCATCATCCGTTGGCATCAATTTTATTCTAGAGTGATCGTAAGGTAATATGTTTGTGAATCGATTCTTCGGACGATTTACTGGGAGATCTGCTGCGTTGCATGGTTTATCACGACCAATGTTCTTTAGAAGTTCGAACTCTTCAGAAAAGCGGAAATCTGAATCAGCAGACATAATTCTGTAATGATCGGCAAAATCTTTCAATTTCACGGGACGGCTGAAAATAAAAGTAAATAAAAAGCAGCATTATTAAAATGTAAAATCATAATTCTATGCTTACATTTTCAGATATTTTTAATTTAAATTAGAAAATTTGCTTAAACATTATTTTGATATTCATAAAGAAATAAAGTACGGAGTTTTCAATAGAATAGGACTAATATTTATTTGTAATAAATCAAAATTTTATTAGCCGATATAGCATCCAATTTGGTATAGACAGGACTTCGTTCTTTTATGACGTTTTCACTATCTTCATGTCTTAATCATGTATCACTATCTTTATGTATTAATGATATACCACTATCTTCTTGTATCACTATCCTCATGTATCACTATCTTCATGAGTCACTATCTTAATGTCCTAATCATGAATCACTATCTTCATGTATTAATCATATACCACTATCTTCTTGTATCAATATCCTCACGTATCACTATCTTCATGTGTCACTATCTTCATGTATTATTCATGTATCACTATTTTAATATCTTAATCATGTATCACTATTTTTATGTACAAATCCTGTATCACTATCTTCCTGTATTAATCATGTAGCGCTATCTTCATGTATTAATCTTGTATTACTATCATCGTATATTAATCATAAATCACTATCGTCATTTATTGATTATACATTGCTATCTTCAAACATTAATCATTTATCACACTATCTTCATGTATTGGCCGGGATGGCCTGGTTGGCAGGACGCTGGACTCTCGTTCGTGAGAACGGGAGTTCGAATCCAGCCAGCCGAAGACTCCATGTAGTAAATGGTGACTAATGCAAGTTAAATCTGTCGGATCTCAAAGTCCTCCATGTTCCCATAACAAATTATACTTCTGGGGTATTGAATTGGGGATTGATCGTTTCTCTGGTTTAGGTTAAAATTACGATCTGTGGATGAATAAATGGATGCATGAATGGGTCCGCCCTATAAACGGGTGTGACGTATGGATGTGACAGAAGTCAAATTTTTGCCATAAATCACACTCTTTGCCTTAATGGCCTACAAGAACAACAACAGTATCACTATCTTCATGTATTAATCATGTAATCTTCGTTGTATTAATCATAGATCTTCGTGTTTTAATCCTGTCATCATATTCATCCCAAATATTTTACATTTTTTACACAGTCGACCGCTTTTTGTTTTTAATCTTGTTGAGTGATACGTAATTTCTTTTTTAGGAGGACTTATAAAAGATTTTGTTTCTAAATCATCATTGCCAAAACACACCACAAACTTTATTGAAGTTAAGTATCAGTGCTCGTAAAAAAACAAAAAGGTGACAAAAAATTGATTTATATTAGATATTTGTGATGGAAAATCTTTCATATATTCTGCTTTTTTTAATTTTAAAGCAAGGCCGGATGCTTTGTTTTGATTACAAGCTTCGCAGATTATATTTCGTTTATGTGAATGAAGTGGATGTTCACCCCTTAGCGCGTTTGACTCAAAAATTAAAAGTTTTACTCTCTTAAAATTAAAAATTTAAATGTTTTACACACTGGCGCTGTAAGAAATTCTTTATAAAATTTTAAATTACTATAAAAAGTGCAAGTACGATCCAATTTTTACAGCAAAACCCATTTTTACCGAAATTTTTACAGTAATATTTATTTAATTAGAGTGATTCAGTTATTTCACTGTAATTATTACTGTAAAAATTACGGTATACCATATTTTTGTTCCGTAATATGTTCAGGTAAAAATGGATTTTACAATAAAAATACCGGTACCCTAATAGCTGGTACTTTTTACCGTAGTATGATTTAGAATACTTTACAGTGCATAGGATTAAAACAAACTATAGGATTTACACCATCCCTGAGCAAATCGAAATTGATAACTTACTTAGTGACCACTTCGCAGTCCGCAACAGACATAGTGTCCGCCTTGCCATGTTTGGTCTTTTTAGAAAAGAAGACAAGCCGCCTTCGTTTCCAGAAGAGGGCCACGCCAACAACCAATACTAGCAGCACCAGGGGGACTAGGTTGCCGGCCAACAGCGTCTGATTGTCTGCCTCCGAAATAGAAATAGTCATTTATGAATTCCATACAAAATTATTGTGAATAGCAACTTTAATTAATTGTAAGTATAGAAAGTTTAGGAACCAAGATATGGTTAAATTTACCGAGTTTCTGGCTCCATGGAAACACCAAAAAGATCAGTAAACAGGGGTCTGCCCAGACACTTTGTGAAAGGTCCGTTTTTCGTGAAATTGTGAAAAAAATTACTCACATTCTTTCAACCAGGGTCCGCTTTTATGAATTTGTACAAATAGGGTCCGTTATTGCAAAAAAAACTTTTTCAAGGAGTTTTTAAATTGTAAAGACATACAAGATTATGCTCAACACTGTAAAATTATAATTAAAAAAATTAAATTTTAAAAAATAAACAACAATTGCTGCTTCTAAATTAGAGATGCAACATACAAATATTTGGTATTTAGCCTATACTGCTGAACGCAGAATATTCATTTTGGACGAATAATGGAAGAATCGTCTGCCGAAGACAAAACTTAATTCATTTACATCCATCTTTCTTGTTTACCGCCCTGGAAAGGGTTTATTCGATTAACAAAATAATAGTGAAGATAAACAAATTTGTGAAGGGTCCGATTAAAAGAAAAATCATTTTGTGAAGGGTCCGTTTTTAAGTTAAAATATTTTGTGAAGGGTCCGTTTTTAAGTTAAAATATTTTGTGAAGGTTCCGTATTTATGAAAAGATATTTTGTGAAGGGTCCGTTAACGGTTCCAAATTTCTTCTAAACAGACCCCTGGTAAATATGGTTGTGATTTTGGTCAAATTGCTCAAAAAATATAATGTTATAATATGCAATATAAAGTTTAATAAATGAGGCAAAATTTGGTAATTTTATCATGATTTATTTGAGTGCGGTATTAAAACCATATATTCGGTTAAATTTACTTTTCAGTTTTGTTTTTTTTACTAAATGTTTGGTAAAGAGAGCTATAATTTAAAAATCAGAATTTCTGGTAAACCATCGCTATATTAACGAAAAATTAACAAATGACTGGATTATAAATACTATATAATTTGGTTTTATTATCAGAAATATGTTTCTCTTTTCCAGGAAATATCATTTCCATACAGTACGTTAATGTAACCAGATCTTTTTCCTTTGTGTATGAAGAGTGCTCCTGGTAAAACATTAATTGTTTGTGCAGTTTTTTTTTAAAGTTTATAACGTACGTATGTATGTTATAAGCGTGAAATTTCAAGTCAGTACGCTGGGAAAAAAAGTGCTGTCAATACTACCAGAACATGGTTAAATTTTCCAAGTTTCTGGCTCTATGGAAACACCATATTTTAAATAACGTAAAGTATGTACGTTATTTAATGTTCCGAAAATAACCGATTACGAACTTCGCTTCTGGGAAATACTGCATAAAATTAAACCACGTTTAGCTAACAATAATTTCAAACTATAGTAAACAAACAAAGAAGTAATAATAATTATACATTGAGCAATTACTGGTTGCAAATAAAGCAAATCAGATTTTTCGATAATATTAAAAAAACGAATTGGGTAATAAAAACGGTTCAAATAAAAAAAAGTGAATCATGATTATGGTGCATATATGGAAAAGAAAATCATTATCCGACAACATTTTAACGTTGAAATAATATATATTAAGTGTATAGACTGTGAAAAAAGTTTAATTGAGAGTTGATGATATGAATGAATTGAAAGTTGCATAAAATTCAGATAAGAAAAACTGCATTCTTCATGTTACGTTTTACCAATATACAATCAAGTAAACAAATTTATCTTAAATATAAAACAACGGATAAATCAACAAACATTTAATCTTGCTATAAAAAAAGACAAATGTCCTCGTTATAAAAAATGTTTTGCAATAACTATGTTCCCTGTTGAGATGTTGTTAGTTAAATATGCACAGATTATCTATTTAGAACAGATGGGAGAAGGTAGGTGATAACACATTTAATACCGCATTCGTAATAAAAATTAATAAAAGCATCTATATATATTCTACGTTTGCTGTCTATACTGAGAGTAAGTATGGTCAAAACTACAAGAATATGGCAAAATTTACCGTATTTCTAGCTCTATGTGAACACCAGAAAGCTCGGAAACTTTTGTCGAAACGCTTTGTCTATGATTTTGATTAAACTAAGTGTAAAATATGGTTCTATAATAAGAGATAAAATTTGGTCAATGTGGTAAAATGCTCCATAATATGTGATAAAATTTGGTAATGGGGTAAAATTTGGTTTCATAATATGCGATAAAATTTGGAAAATGTGGTAAAATTTGGTAATTTGATCGTGATACTTTAGAGCAAGACGTAATAATCATTTATTTGGTAATTTTTTTTTTACAGTTTTATATTTTTTACTAAATGTGTGATAATAAGAATTATAATTTTAAAAACCAGAATTTCTGGTAAGCCGTTACCATATGAACGGAAAAATTACTAAACTAATAGTTTAAATACCGCAATTTTTTGACTGAAAATATGTTTTTTTTTAAACAAGAATGTCATTACCATACAGTACGGTAATCTTATCAGAAATTCTTCCCCGTGAAATACAATTAATATTTTCCAAAATTTTTTTCCTTAAAATATTTTTTTAATTTATGAGAATCTAGATATCAATATTATAAACATATTGCTATTAATGTCATTAATAATTAATGTAATTTGTATTGTTGCAAAATTTCATTTATATAATTTGGTAATTATATCATGATTTCTTGGAGCATGGCATAAAAACCATTTATCCAAATAAATTTAGTTTCCAGTTTTGTATTTTTTTAATGTTTGGTAACTAAATGTTTGGTAATACGAACTATAATTTTGAAAATTGAAATTCTTGGTAAACCGTTATAGCGGTTACCATGTATGATTATAAATATCATGTATGATTATACGATTATAATACGTCTTGGTATACCATAGGAATGGAAAAGCTACCCAATAAGTGGTTTAAAAATCGTATATTTTGGTCTTATTAACCAGAATTATGTTCTTTTTTTTTACCAGAAATGTTATTAGCAAACAGTTTAGTAATTTCACCATAATCATTTCCTCCGTGTAGTAAAAAAATAAAGGGTAAATAACAATAAGTTTGTAATAACTAATGACTGTTAATAACAATAAGTTGAAAAGTAAACAATAAGTTTGTTCAATAACTGCGTGTTTCAGCAGTTTAGGTAATAAACCTAAGTATAGACAAAAAAAATGAATAAATAACTAAAAATGCAAAAACAATCTCTTTTTTTTTTATTTAGCTGTTCAGAAAACTGACTAGAAAATAAATGCAAAACAATAAATTTGGTAAATAAATTTTTGTTGCAGTTGTCTCGGAAACAAAAAAGATGGTGGCAAAACAGCAAATTTGGAGAACAGGTTTTTGTTTCAATAGCTTGGGAAACTAATTAAACAAAGTGATAAAATTGTAAGTTTGGAAAATTAATATTTTTCGAGAAATCTATAAAATTTGATTGGAAAGTGGATACAAAACTTTAAGTCTGGGAAATAAACTTTTTGTTTCACTGTGTAGCAATTTAATTAGAAAGTGCGGGAAAATTTATAAGTTTTACGAAATAATTATTTTAGTGGTAAATGGAACAAATTATAAAAAAGCAAAACAAAGAGTTCGGTTAATAAATTTTTTAGAGGTCTAGGTTACAAATTAGAAAAAGGCATCAACACAATGAACTTTGTGAAATGTTTTTCCTTTTCGCTGCACTGTAAAAAATCCTGGGTCAAATTACAACATAAAATTCCGCCACTTTGTGAGCATCATCCATAAAATCGATTTTTATCGTAATTTTTAAAGTAATATTTTTTAATAGAGTCATTCAGTGATTTTACGGTAATTATTACTGTAAAAATTACGGTAATCAGATTTTTTATTCTGTAGCATGTTGTGATAAAAATGGATTTTACGTTAAAAAATACCACCACGCTAAGTGCCGGTACTTTTTACGGTAAGGAATTTTTTATAGTGTATATTTCTTTTGTCTTTAAACGAATCAAGACAAAGATATTTTATATCCATATACCTTTTAATTTTTCAGTTATTAGGAATGCATTTTGTCCTCTTCTTAAAATATAACCTTTAACTGATCAAAACTGATAAATTAATTCGCATATTACTAAATAAAACTGATTTGATGAAATATTTTTTGTGTAAACAATAATGACAACGTAAATGCAATATGCAATAAATACAATAGTATATATTGCTAAGTATAATAATGAAAAAGATTACAATACGCTTATAAACACAAACAGTTAAAAATAGCATTTAATAATTTTCAAGAAAATAAAGAAAGTGCGTTGAAACAAATAACCTATCCAAATAATACAAAACAACGCTTTCGTTGAATGTAGTTGCGTTTATTTTAAGAACTAGGGAGTAAGAAATTTTTTTGTAAACTATACTCACGGAAGTTTCCACTAAGTCAATGGCTAATGGCCAAAAAGTTAGTTCATAAAATAAAGTTAACCTCACTTGAATACAAAGAAGAAACTAGTTGAAATTTTCAGTGTGCTCTTATAAAATTTAAACAGCTTATTTGTAGTAAATTGAAGGAGATAGAATTTTTTAAAGCACTGGGAGGCTCCACCCTCTTTTATAAGATCTTTTTATTAAGTACCTTTACTTATATGAAAATGTCTCGATAAATGTTAAGATTTATATCTGGCTACACGTAATCTCTCTGTTTTGATACTTTGATTGGCATCTGCTGAAGAATGAGCTGATAAAATAAAGAAATTAAAGATCTAGCGAGAGAAAAATAAATTTTTGACGACAACGGATAAATAATCAATATTTAGAGCAAAAATGCAGGAAAAAAAAATCACAAAAAAAATTTTAATCTTGTCTTTACTTTTGAACAAATTAGAATTTCAAAACAAAATCAGAGTAAAGATCACAAATAAAAAGGGTTCTTTCAGCGTGTCAAATTTTAACACCATAGTTGAATTTTAGCGGGCTACAGATCGATCAAACATGATATTTTTTTCTACAAGTTTACCGGTTGATAATTTTTTAACTAATTATCAAATCTTAACTTTCTTTACCTTATAGTATCCCCTGAGAGCTTTTCTGCATATCTTGGCAATTTCAAGTTCCTTGTGTGATGTATTTTGTGTAGGAAAGCAAAGTGTAGCGTAAATTAAAAAAAAAAATAAAGAAAAAGCACATAAAACTGCATTAACTTTCGAACAAATTGGAATTTCGAAAAAGAGAAAAAACTCAGTGTTAAGTTCATAAGCAAATATTGCCCTTTCAATTCACCAAATTTCGACTCTAAAATTGAATTCTGTCGAAAATCATTTGCGCAGATAATTCTTCTTGAACTTTATTATACGATACAATGACTCAACCTAGATGAAAACTCGGTCCTTTTAAACACCTTATTAAGATTGAGGAAAATTTTCACTGTATCATGATTCAATGTACCGAAACTAGAATTTAAAGTTGAATCAATTTTTCTGAGAGTGTAACCTTTGAAGCTTTATGAATAACTAAATAATTCAAATTAAAAACATATTTTTATTTATCTATTAAATTAAATTACGGCAATATATAGTTCAACTTAGCACTTCATCAAAGATGTAGCTAATTTAGATCAACTTAACTATATCTTTCCGTGATTTTACGGAGTTTATAGCTTTTACAAATTCATTAAGGATGCAGCGAATTTAAACTTATTTTATGATTTATATAGTACTCCAAAATTTCTAGCAGCGTGGTAAATTTTGTCAACATCTAGTCATGGTGATTCAAGACTTGTGTCCAAGAACTTTAGAAGCGGACCATACTTTATTAATTATTGATCATTTAATAAACAAAATATTTTAAATTGCCATAATGTCATTGACTTTGATTGATGCAAACTGATAAAAAATGTCTATTGATCTTAATGTCCAAAAAATTAGGTAGCGTATCATAATATATTAATTATTTAGTAAACAAATGACTTAACTAGTCATCATATCATTATCGCAAAATAGATAGTTCAATAATGCAAATTGATAGAAAATATCATGCAATCATTTTCAAGTTTTAAAATTTTCAAAATTAGTCACTCATTAATATTTATTGATTATTAAATAAATAAATTATTTTAAATAGTCATAATATCATTGAGTCAAAATCTATTTATGATTTTCGCGCTTTGATAAAGAAAAAAAAAAGAAATCCTGCGTACCATCTTAATGTTCAAAAATTTTCAAAGTGTATTACCCTATATTAATTATCAAATAAACAAAATATTTAAAATTGTCATAATACCAAATACTCAAAATTGATTTACGTTAAACGTAAATTGATGAAAAAAATCTATTTCAAGCATTTTAATGTCTGAAGATGCTGGCTTTACAATATTAACTATTTAGTAATTAATAAACAAAATGTTCTAAACAATTATAATAACACAGATCAGATTTCTGTAAATAGTTCTGTTTTGGTACTGTATGATTCCTATATGATGTTTTAAATCCAACCCGAAAATGACAGATGATTTGAAAAACCAACCAAATATAGGAAATAAAGTGTATCGTTTGATACATATTGCTTACGAAACTAAAGAATCTATTCTCCCTAATTTTTAAAATTAGTTACGAATTTCGCTAATAGATGGCGAATTTAACTGATAACAAATTCAAAGCAATGCTTTTAAAATAACCGCTTTTTTCAGCAATAAAAATGCAAAAATATGAGAGCAAAATTAACAACAGACGCCAGTGAAATCGGTCTCCCTTGTTGAGAGAAATATATTTCATAAAATTCTGTTTTTCAAAATGATTCTTGAAATTGTTACTAATGAAGACCCCTGGTATTTCTGTTGTTTATGAAAACATTACTGTCCTAAATGGTTTATTAATTATGAAAAGAAGGGTCACAAGAAATAAATGCTAATTAACGCAATTAAAATTTATCTTTTGACTTTTTTTTAAAAGAAATATAGTAGATATTTGTTTTCATAAAATATTTAATATTTGATTTTTTTAAATGTTTATTGAAAATTAAAATCGTAATGAAACTTCAATGTAAGTTTAGTGTTCCAGAAAAGTGAACACCTTAGATTACTTATATTCGAATGAAATAATTACTTATATACGTACTAGGTCACAATCTTAATGGTACGAATGTCTTATCTTAAATAGGTTAACCCCTTAACTTGAGCGCTCGAGTTAATTCGAGCGCGCTAAACAGGCCAAATTGTGCACACTTGAGATAATTCGAGCGACGCTGTATTTAATGCTGCTACAATTTTTCACACTCGAATATAATCGAGAATTGAAAATAACAATGTGAAAGCTAAGAAAAAAAAAACTTTTTATTGATATTTATCATTTACATAGGATTGTAAGCTATAACACTTATTTATTCAAGAATAAAATATAGCCCTTTTTTCATGGAACAAAAGCACAGTATATCGAAATTGTTTACCGAAAGAAAAGTTAACCCAGAACGGGATCAATTTTTTTGTTGTTGTTGCTGGTTTTCTTCAAAAAATCTGTGCGTTAAGGGGTTAAGTAATGTATGCAAACGATATTTTAAGTTGCGAAATAAGGCACAAAAGCATACTTTCTCTGAAAAAAGAATTGTAATATAGGAACTTATTACGTAGCATAAATGATTGTTAAAACACCGGGATAACTTTTCAAACTAAATAATTAATAAGTACACAAACAAATTTATTAAAAATTATGCTTATTCCAGTTCAACAAACATTTTTTAGAATACAAAATTCTCCTAACACTACAGTAAATTCAGATAATCGATTTAATTAGCATCATGAAAATAGTAAGATTAATTAAGTAAATATGAGATTTCATGTTTTTTTTTAATCTCTCCTCTTTTTCTGGATGTATGCTTTTAGATGTGATTTATTAAGAATAAATATTTTTCTTTCTTTCTAAGTCTTGTTATTGATAGTTACTATGATTAATTCCTCTACTTACCCCAAATCGGCGTAGCTTCCTCAGATACTGTTGTTATGCCAGGTCCCACTTTTGTATGAGCTTGGATCTGTAATTTCATTGCCATTAAAAATACAAACAATCAAATACTTTGCAGCTAATTTATAATAAACTATTATTTATGATGCACACTGCCGTGCAATTGAAAAAACATCGTAAGTACTTCACGATACGCTGTTAGAAATTTCTCGGAAAGAATGGTTAAATTACAATTTATCTAATTGTTATTTAACCGTATTTAAGCAAAACAGTCAAATAACCATAATTAAGATGGTAATCAAACTGTTAACTGTGAAAAAAATCACATGCTAACTGTTTTTATCTAATACGGTTAAACAATGCAGATGAGTACGCATTATAACCGAGCGGGCTAATCTGTCGGTCTCATGACCAATGGAATTGGAGTTCAACAGCACAATCATTCCTTTCACATGAAGAGTTTACAGTGTTCTGCAATCTCCAACGGCCATTACCCAATAAAAAACCTATCTCCTACGTACAGCTAAATTTCGTTTTTTTTATGGTTTTGAAACCATACTAGTTGTAAATGGTTGAAAAATCGTTTAGTTCTGTATTCATGGATTTATACCCATATTAGTCGTAAACGGTTTCAAAACCGTAAAGGTAAAAATTATTGTTTACCGCTATTATTAACCGTAAACTTATTATTAATCCTTATTATTGACGGTATGAATTCATTATTATTAACCGTAAATTTTACTGTTGACCGGATGGACAGACTGCTGTCGGTGATTTTACCATAATTTTTGAATGAAAATTCTAACAGAGTAGATTTCGAGAAAAAAGGTTTCAGAACAATTTTCTTTTTATTGCTAATGCTATGAATACTAAAATTGAATTTCAAAAAAGCTGATAAAACAAAATTTATTTGTGATTTTTTTTTTAATTTATGTAATTCACAATACAAAATGCCACGTGCATAAAAATATGAATTTTGAACTTTTCGCCCTCTACGATATTTTGTATGTATTGCAAAGTAGTATAGTAGTAGTTGCATAAGCAATTTCTGTTCAATAATGCCTCCAGCTTATCACAGGTATAAACAGCTAAATTAGTAAACTTGTGTATAAACTTATAAGAGTTCCATCATAAAGTTATAATTTTAATCTACTATTATCTTTCTAGCTAAATTAAGTTTAAGAAAAAAGCTCTAGATAGTTTAAGAAAAAACTATGACGCACAGCTGCACTGTAAAAGAATTTCGGATTAAATTCCGGTAGAAAGTATCGGCACTTTGTATGCCTCATCTGTAAAATCCTTTTTACAGCAAAATCCATTTTTACCGTAACGTGGGTAGACCGGAGTTTTTAGAGTAATATTTATTTAATTAGAGAGGTTTAGAGATTTTATGGTATTTATTACTACAAAAATTAAGATGTATTAGATTTTTTGTTATTTAACATGTTCGGGTAAAAATTGATTTTACGATAAAAATAGTAACGGCACCCTGAGTACCGGTACCGTTATTTAATTCAGCATTTTTTACTGCGTACCGACACTTACTTCGAAGACATATTCCATCCCTGGAATCAAACCGGAAATTAATCCTCTGGTTTCAGTTGGCTCAAAATATTCGTATCTACGTTTACTAGTACCCTGTAAGTAGAAAACACTTTATAAACAAAAATAATTTTTTGAAAAACTAATTATACAAATTTCTTCTATAGCAAAAAAAGAAGAAGTTTATGAAAGAATTGAAAAATAACACTAAGGCAATTGCAACTTTGAACCTATGATAATAATAGTTTGGTATATTTTTAGTTTAATATGAGTCACAATACACATGTACAGTTCATACATAAAATTAAAAACAAAATTCAAGGACATTTGAAAGAGTTTTCAAGAAAAAAAAAACATTAAAATTTCAAGGATAACTAATGGAAACTTTTTCATAGAGTCTATGAGCAAGACATGGTGTGTTAATTAAATAATTTATGATTTGCAGTACGGAAAACTTTGTCTTTTAGGCATGTTTTTGCCATTATTTTAAAAGAAATATTTCAAAATACTTTCCTTTTTATAAGAAAAATCTTTTTCTGAAGTAAAAACTTATAATAAGTAGATAATAGCTGTGTGGTAGAATGCTTTTATAGCATCCTACGTTGACAAAAGAAAAAAAAACAGTTATGGGAAATATTTTGTAATAAATTGTTTTTGTTTGATGACAAAAACAAATTTTTTTTATCTCATTTTCTGTTTTGACAATTTTTAATTATGGCAAGAAAAGTATAGAAAAATTTCTAAAATTCGAATATTTTCTTTGGTTTATTTGAAGTGGTTCTTCAAAGCTTATTCACGAAGTTTTTCGATGTTGTGGGATTAACAAAATTTGTATTTGAAGTATACCAACCTTAACAAAGTACGTAACTTTGAATCCAGTGAGCACACCATTTTGTTCCGTAGTAGGTAAAGTCCATTGCAAAACTACTTCGTTGGGTTTCACTTCAACCGCTCTAAAGAAACGCACTCGTCCTGGTACTGAGGATAAAAAACAAAATAATAAATCAATAAATGAAAGTAATTAAACTATTCATGAATAAAATTTGCAGCTCTAACTAATTTTATTCAATTCAGGATGAGACAAAATTTTTGAAAATATTATTTCCCTGTTATTTTTGAAAATCAGTATTAAAATTACTATTTAATCTAGAAACTGAAGGTCAAAAGATTGTGGCACCATAATCACCTTTTCATTTAACCAACAATATATCCCATAAGAATTCGATTAAGAGCGAAATTAGCTACAATGGGGTTATTTAAAAACCGAAACCAAATGATGGTCAACAGCTTTTGCACCAATGCGATCTTTGAGCACAATGATATCTCCACGTCGAAGTGGATTATCTGGAGATCAATCATCTTCTTGCGTTGGACGGATATTTCAGTTATTCCATTTTGTTTCAAAATTAAGAATTCCGTCGATTGTATTTTTTCTCTTCGAAAGTATATGCTTAACCCCTGTCGGATTTTATATCGAATTTCTGACCAAAAAATATTATTTTTTTATTACTGAAAATTAATATATGTTCTGTTCTAAATTCGAAAATGCGAAATATTTTTGTCAGCAAACAGTTTCTTGGTTGACCTTTTGTGGTGAAATATGTGATGTTCAGTCCACTGACCTCCAGTTTTCCCTGTAATGCACCCAAGTTTTATCTTAAAAAAATGCACTGTGATAACATATTTATTGCTTAATTTATTAATTTATATAACATATTTATTGCTTTATTGCTTTAAGGTGCTTAAGATAGATGTGTGCATAAAATAATTACTAAAATTAGAAAAAAAATATTTTGGCAAGTAATTTTTCATCCTTACCGTTAAAACAGCTTTATAAAATTCTTGGATATCAGAGAGTAAAAATCACAACTATTTTGACATGCAACGGTAACACTAATGAAAGCGAAATTACAGAAAGTACAAAATGATTTTGATTTCAATTCAAGGAGGGAAATCTATCTGCGAGAAATGCGAAGATGACTAGTTGCGCCATCTCTTATCAATATTCCGAAATGCGAAAATAATCGCGGAATTTAAAGAGACGTGCAAGTAACGACAAATTCAACTTCAATGGTGCCATTTTTTTCTACGTCGCATGGCATATAATGCCGACCATACTGGCACAAAAACTCCGAATGTATGAGATACGACGCCAACAGAAAAGGGGTTGATAATATGTCTTCATGTATTTTAATTTAAATATAAATATGTTTAAATGTAGTTATAAACTAATTTGCCAATTTCAAATTTGACTCGTCAGAATTCACTGATTCACCATTTCCTTAATACGTCAATTTCTAATTTCACAGATTCATTGCTACCTCATTTCAATTTTCATGTCTGATATCAAAAATCATTCGTCATAATAGCTATTGTAAAAGGATTTTAAAAATAAAAGAAAACAATGTTGTTAAAAAGATTAGAAAATAATAATTACTTAAAAGTTTAACAATAAAATAATAAATAAATAATAAAGTAATAAATAAATAACAAATAATTAAATAATAAATAAATAACAAATAAATAATTCATAAATAATAAAAAAATAATAATTAAAATAATAAATAATAAAATAATATATGATTACCTAACAGTTTAACTATTAACAAACTTGAAATATTTGCTACTCAAGGTTTCTCAAGGTTTGTTTGCATTATACCCATCTATTGTTTTTATTGATAGAAATAAGTACTCTTAATTTGTTTAAACATTGATTAATGAGAGTTATTAATTGTTTTTGTTCCTACTAAAGAATATTAAAGCAAAAAATGTGGTATTAAACACAAAAATTGACTGTAATGAAAGAAACAGCACTGTAACTTTTAGTTAAGAACAACAGAACTTATGACGATATGATATTAAACATGTTTAAAAACATTAGTAAACTTTATTAGTAAACTCTTTCACGGTGACAAAGGAAGTATTAATTTCTTTTTCACGTTGGCAACGAAGAATTGAAATATCAAGCGTGTGAGCTTTCATAAGCATGAAAGCATAAGCGTATATGCTTACTAATTTCTGAATGAATTTTTCTCCCTCGTGACAATCAAAAATTTGAATAGAGTTATAAGTTAGGAAGAATTGAAAAGTTAAAAAAAATCAAATCAGCAAACAAAGTAGGTTTTAATTATACCTATGCACGTTCACTAATAATAATTGTTAAGAGTTATATCATTTGACAGCCTTACAATGGTAAGTCCTTAAATTTATAGTTAAGGTTTTTTTAATTTTCCTTAAATTTATAGTCAAGAAAGCGGGGAAGAGATGGGCTGACTCAGTGGAGTCTGATTTTCTCGCAATTAATGAAAAGAACTGGAGATCAAAGGCAAATTGAAAGGCATTGGCTCATATTGGGCTGTCTGGCCAACTATGATGATGATGATAAAATAATATTTTATTGTTAATTTTACCGAAATTATTATTAAAGTGCTTCTTAAAAAATCACTGAGCTTTCTGGCGTTCCCATAAAGCCTGAAACACTGTAAATTTTACCATATTCTAGTAGTTTTTACCATACTTCTTTTTCTCAGAGTATGATTAAAATGTTTATAATCATATTTTAAGAGATTCATTACATAATGTAATTCAAAACATAATAAAACTGTGAGCTCAAAAGAGTTCTTGAATGAATATGTTTTCTAATGTTTAATGTTTAGTATGTTTAATATTAGTGATTGAATATGCTTTGTAATGCTAGTTTTAATGTTAACAGAAATAAATAAACAAAAAAGGAGTTGTATGAGAAAGATAATTCTCTGAAACCCTTCTTTTTTCAATTTTATTTCTAAGAACTCGGGTCATCATTTATAGCAATAAAAAAATCGTCATTGTTTGTACAGTCCAGAACTTATCTAAGTTTAGAAAGAAAAGACCTTGAGTTCTTGTTTGTAACTGGACTTGTTTGGTTGTTTTGTTTATTTTTTTCCTGATGAAATTACGTGTTTACGATCAAAATACAAAAGGCAAGTATCTCATATTTCAAAAACAATAAGGTAGAGAAGAGTATAGAAAAAAAAGTTTAGATAAAACTAGAGCATAAAATCTTTGTTTTAAAATATTTTAATGCAGTACGCCTATGTATTATGACACTATAATTAACTATAACGTTCAGTGGGCTAACAAAAAATGGACTACCTAAAAAAACTTTTGATCTAATATAATCGGATCTTCTCGTTCGAGGACTCAATCTTAATAGTTTGAAAGGGTGACTTCAAATATGCAAATTGATTAGAGCAGACGATACTTTCAGTTACGAAATCAGAACCAAAAGCGTACTTTCTCTAAATAAACATACTTTTTTTTCCAAAGAATTCGCATTTCTGACCTTCTAACTATAGGGGTTGCCAATATCTGGGAAATATGGTCCCAATAGTTTGGTCCGAAGAGCGGTTCAAAATTTGGCCCCTTAATGTTAATTTTACTTTTTACGTATTTCGCCAAACCTCGAGAAAATTTTAAGCTAATTGAAAAATTTTTGCACTCAATTATAATATTCGTACACCCAAAGATAACTCCAATGATAAATATTTACTAAAATAACTTTTAGTAAATATTCATAATTTTTTATTATTTTATTTCATATTAGTCGAAAAAAATATGTGTAGGAAAGGATTCAAAATTTTACATCATTTTAAAAAATTCGATTTTTCAAAGCAAAATACAAAATTTAAGCGAAATCGGTCGAATTTCCTTCTCCAACACAGCCTTATCACAACATTGGTTAAAAATTAAATTTTCCATATTTTTCCAAGTTAATTCCAGCTTCAAATCGACTTTCTATAACACTGGATCTAATCATAACATTGGTCAAAAAAATTTTAAGTTTCCAAATTTTTCCATGTAAATCCCAGTTCTGAATAGCTCTCCTCCAAAGCTTAACCTTATCACAACACTGGTTAAAAAAAAAATTCAAGTTTTTCCTACAAAATTCAAGCTCTGAATTTAAGCACCCTTCTCCAACTCTGGACGTTGTCTCAACATTGATCAAAAAAATTAAATTTTCCGTTCAGAAACAAAATGCATATTCAGGTCCACGCTCTCTATTTTTGGTAGATTTCAATCTCAAAGACATCAATACTAACCTGATTCATGTGTCTGTACTGTCTTAGACAAGAGTCTACTTCGGCGTACGGTTGCAGTGTCGTATCCACTTATAACTGATACCAAAAACGTATAGTTGTGGTGGGGTTTCAAATCGCGAAATGTGTTACTTTCTGAGAAGCTGACATTCATGATTAAATGTCCAACGGGATCTTGGTACTGGATCTCATAACCATCCATTTCACCTGGAGGTCTGTTCCAACTGAGAGTGATGTCGGTGTCAGTTACAGATTCTGCTCGAATCTCAGTGATGGGTTCAGGAACTGGAAAAATATACTAAAGTAAGTGAAGTCAAGATTGTTTTTAATTTAATATTATATAATTCATAAGTACTATATGTATGATTGTATAAACAATTTGCAATTTATATATAGGGTATACGAAAATCTAATCAGTTAGTTTTACCTTTTTCAAGTTGAAGTAATAAGTGTAATAAGTACGTGGCTGAGCAGTTCAATGGGACTCTCCAAATTTAAAAATAGCAACAAATAATTATAAATGGCGTTATGTTGTTTTTGTTAAAATCATTCGAATTTCGAGCAAAATATCTGGAGATAGCATTTTGGACACCAACAAAATTTTAAAATTTTTAGACGCTTAAAAAATGTTGTAGCAATTAGAATACATGGAAATCCGTTTACATAATATCAGAACAATATGCTGAATGAAAGGACACATCCCACCCTGNCCAAGTTAATTCAAGCTTCAAATCGACTTTCTATAACACTGGATCTAATCATAACATTGGTCAAAAAAATTTAAGTTTCCAAATTTTTCCATGTAAATCCCAGTTCTGAATAACTCTCCTCCAAAGCTTAACCTTATCACAACACTGGTTAAAAAAAAAAATTCCAAATTTTTCCTACAAAATTTAAGCTCTAAATTTAAGTACCCTTCTCCAACTCTGGACGCTGTCTCAACATTGATCAAAAAAATTAAATTTTCCATATTTTTCCAAGTTAATTCAAGCTTCAAATCGACTTTCTATAACACTGGATCTAATCATAACATTGGTCAAAAAAATTTAAGTTTCCAAATTTTTCCATGTAAATCCCAGTTCTGAATAGCTCTCCTCCAAAGCTTAACCTTATCACAACACTGGTTAAAAAAAAAATTCCAAATTTTTCCTACGAAATTTAAGCTCTGAATTTAAGTACCCTTCTCCAACTCTGGACGTTGTCTCAACATTGAACAAAAAAATAAAATTTTCCATATTTTTCCAAGTTAATTCAAGCATCAAATCGACTTTCTATAACACTGGATCTAATCATAACATTGGTCAAAAAAATTTAAGTTTCTAAATTTTTCCATGTAAATCTCAGTTCTGAATAGCTCTCCTCCAAAGCTTAACCTTATCACAACACTGGTTATAAAAAAAAATTTCCAAATTTTTCCTACAAAATTCAAGCTCTGAATTTAAGCACCCTTCTCCAACTCTGGACGTTGTCTCAACATTGATCAAAAAGATTAAATTTTCCGTTCAGAAACAAAATGCATATTCAGGTCCACACTCTCTATTTTTGGTAGATTTCAATCTCAAAGACATCAATACTAACCTGATTCAAGTGTCTGTACTGTCTTAGACAAGAGTCTACTTCGGCGTACGGTTGCAGTGTCGTATCCACTTATAACTGATACCAAAAACGTATAGTTGTGGTAGGGTTTCAAATCGCGAAATGTGTTACTTTCTGAGAAACTGACATTCATGATTAAATGTCCAACGGGATCTTGGTACTGGATCTCATAACCATCCATTTCACCTGGAGGTCTGTTCCAACTGAGAGTGATGTCGGTGTCAGTTACTGATTCTGCTCGAATCTCAGTGATGGGTTCAGGAACTGGAAAAATATACTAAAGTAAGTGAAGTCAAGAAAGCTTTTAATTTAATATTATATAATTTATAATTACTATATGTATGATTGTATAAACAATTTGCAATTTATATATCGGGTATACGAAAATCTAGTCAGTTAGTTTTACCTTTTTCAAGTTGAAGTAATAAGTGTAATAAGTATTTGGCTGAGCAGTTCAATGGGACTCTTCGAATTTAAAAATAGCAACAAATAATTATAAATGGCGTTATCTTGTTTTTGCAGTTATTGGAGGTGGCAGAAAAGTAATGCCATTTTCTTACTTTAAATTAAAACAGATAACTTTTTTACAAATTTTGATTTTCAATCAATCTCGTTATCAGCAGCCTTTTTCCATCTAGGGTGCGGATTTTCAAATCTCAATCGATTAAAATCATTCGAATTTTGAGCAAAATATCTGGAGATAGCATTTTGGACACCAACAAAATTTTAAAATTTTTAGACGCTTGAAAAATATTGTAGCAATTAGAATACATGGAAATCCGTTTACATAAAATCAGAACAATTTGCTGAATGAAAGAAAACATCCCACCCTGACTCATTAATTTTTTTTCAGGTATGATCTTCCTGGTGGATACGAGTTGGAAAGGAAAAAATTACCGATTACCATAAATACCATTTTTGGTGGTGGCTATCTTAGTAAACAAATTACTCCGACCTTTAAGTGTCTTTACCATGGTTATCAAGTACACAATGATGTGATAAGAGCAAACAAATATTGTAATACGCAGAAACAACATTATTTTCCGGTCTTTCTACTAATTTAATGTTTTGCAATACAAAAGTTTTTTCGAAATAAACAAACAACAAATTGTTGCTGAAATTAATAAGATAATAATTTTTTGAGGATTATTTATTGTAATAAAATGTACTAATCGAAATGTTTCTTATGAAAAACATTTTCTAAGTGACATTTTTGGAAAGAAANCGATCAAACACAACACTTCGGCGAAGAGTCGGTGTGTATTTGATGCCTAGTGTTTTTGTCTCCTGTTCTCGAGTAACAATGTTGATCACTGAATCAATAACAGGCTCTGAAAAAAAGAAAGAGTGGTGATTTAAATGAAACCCAGGGTGATTGTTGCGGAATTAGAAGTAATGTATTAAACAAAACGAGATGAAATTGGGAAATTAGATGCATGAATTAGATACAACTATTTGTGTTAAATTGTCATTCGAATGAATGAATAAATAAAAATTAAACTCATGAATTAGAAATAAAAGAGAAATTAGATACAACTACTTGTGTTGAATCCGAAAAAGGAATTGTGTTATTCAAAAAAGGAATAAAAATTAACCACATGAATTAGAAATAAATAAGAAATTAGATATAACTATTTGTGTTCAATCGTTATTCTAATGAAGGAATAAAAAGAGCATAAATCAGAAATTTGCATGGATAAGATACAACTATTTGAGTTCAATCGTTATTCGAATGAATGAATGAATAAAAATTAAACACATGAATAAAAAATAAATAAGAAACTAGAAGCTGCTTTTGATGTTCTATTTTCGTTAACTAGATACAAATAGAAATAAATGATGAGATATAAACGAAATATTATGAAGGTGAAATTAGATGCATGGGACAGATGCAACTATTTGTGTTCAATCATTATCCGAATGAATAAATAAAAATTAAACTCATGAATTAAAAATAAATGGGAAATTAGATGCGGCTCCATTGTCATTCATATTAATAGAAATTGAACACATGAATTAGATTTAATTAAAGATAAATGATGCGAATATTATATAAGATTCAAAAACTAATTTTATACGCGAAATAGATAAAAATGAGAAATTAGTGCGTGATTTAGAAACAGAGGAGAATTTAAATACATTACGTCCCGCAGTGGACTTGTCGTTAAGAGACACGGTTCCCAATAGAACACCGAACTCAAGGATCACTGGCTGCGTCCAGTAAGAGGCTGGGTGATCATTTTGATCTGCCTGCGTAGAGGCCGAAGGTGCGCGGTATTTGTCCTCGTTAAATTGTTCTACCGTAAAGTGCTCTACTTCTCCCGCAGGTCGTCGGGGTACCAAAGCAGGGAAGCCATCCCCTTTGCAGAGGATTGTGATGGCATGTCTTCGGATCATTCTCAGAGATGTTTCCCAGACCGTCGCCAATAGCTCGTAGTGCAGCTCTAGTGCGATGTAAATAAAGTACCTACCTACCTTTTAAATAAATCACGGTTAACTGATACTCTCTTAACCAAAAAAATACCCTTGACTTACTTGTTCTAGTTTGGACGGTGACACCTTCACTTCTTAAATTATGGCTGATTGCATAAAATCGAAATGAGTACAGTTCTCCAGGTTTTAAGTCGTCAATAGTAACATTCATCTTTTCCTTAGGTTTTATTCCATTTGCTAGAACCTACAGACAAAAAACACGTTGGATAACTGCTTTGAGCAATACTCGAATTTATATCAATCACACATACATAAAATAATCAATTTATTAAAATATTTTACATTCTTTTTATCCGTTGGTTCACTTATTAAGTAGTTTTCTGCTAAAATATCAATCAATAATTAAGAAAACCATACGATGGTTTAAAACCACGTTTTTTTTTATTTATAAGAATAAAAGTTAATTTGAAAATACAGTGAGCAATTTTTTTAAGGTTCATCGTTTCGATGTTTCAAAATAATTTTTTTAGGGTGAATTTAGTTTATTTTTAATTCAAGACCAGAACTACGTTGAATGGACACTCCTGTTTCGTGTATACAAATTTATATTTTGCATCACTTGTTGTAATTACCGAAAAAGCAATCTTAAATCATTTCGAATCATTTATTGAAATATTTAAATATCTCTAAACGAAGTTTAAACTTATAGTTTTTCATTAGGTTTTATCAAAACTTCAGAAAGTGATTGTTAAGATTTTTTTAAAGCGACCACGTTAGAAATAATTAGCTGTTTAATGATATTAATAAATGCTAATTGCAGATAATAGCAGTAAATAATAATCATGAACATTAACATAAATAATTACAATGATATATGATGATCATAAAAATTAATAAGAATAAATAGTCATATTAATAATAGTAATTAAAATAATAATTAAAAATAATAATAATTAATACTAATAATAATAAATAATAATCATAAATATTAATAATATTAATTAATACTAATAATAATAAATAATAATAATAAATATTAATAATAATAATAAATAAGTATAAAAATAAATAATAATACAGTGAAATTGTATGACTCATTTTTATGTTATTATTTCAATATAGTGTCAGTTTATCCGTATACCATTCCAGTGAAGTTGTTTTTTTCTATGCATTACACAAAATTTCGATTATAAGTCTATTTAATACAATTTTTTTCCGTATGAATTCTTAGCAATAATAAATAACATTACTTACATTTTAAAAACCTTGAAAATATAAATTTTTAAACATTTTCATTAGTAGTATTTAATTTGAAATAATTATTTTTTCAATTATTCACATAGAAAATAAATTAAAACATTAATCTAAAATTATAAGGATACTTGTAAGTAATAGTAATACACAAAAGAGATGTTTATAAGTTACTGATATGTTACTTCAATATAACCTCAATTTCTTCATATCAATTATAATGAAGTTCTTCCTTTATACATGTAACAATTTTTCAAATAAGCATATTTTAAACTACTATTGCTTTCAATATAAATTTTATGCGGTACTAAACTACCGTATGACCATCTTAAGAACTTTAAAGTTATTAATTTTTCATACGTTTAAATCAGTAGTTTCAAATTTGAAATATTTTTTAATATACATCTCTTCATTTAGATATTGTCTTACGTCATTTCTTGAAAGATGTCGAAAAAATGTGCTTTAATCAATAAAAATAGTGGTAAAACAATCTCGATTTTCAATAATCAATCATCAATATCGATCTTTCAACATTTAAGCAATAATACTGATCTTTTAACAATCACGCAACAATATCGATCCTTTAATAATCTCGATCTTACGGTGATAAATAATCTTTCAAGGAACTGACAGCTTCAGTTCCTTGAAAAATGTTGAAAAATTGTGCTTTATTGTAATAACAATAATAACAAAACAATATCGGTCTTTAAACAATTAAGCAACAATATCGATCTTTCAATAATCAATCAACAATACCGATCTTTCAGCAATCAACAATCTTTTAAGAAACTTACGATGTCAGTTCTTTTTTAAAAAAATTGAAGAAATGTTCTTTATTGCAATCACAATTAAAATAATAATAATAATCACAATAATAATGCAATAAACCAATCTTGCCTGTAAANGTACTTATATCCTCGACACACGAGAAAGGCCATCTATTAGAAGATCTGAAGCCCGCCTTAACCCATATGAAACCCATCTGAACAATAAAACTAAGTTATTTTTATTTTTTGTAAGTTTTTATTCTACTGGTGGAAGCGCAGTTTACTTTTTCGACAAGAGTTAGGTAAAGAGGAAACATAACATTTCCGGCAAGGAAGGAAAATGCTACCACGTTTCACTTTGAACTAAAAACTGATATTTCATCAATGAATACGTTTTCTAAGTTAATATTATCTGTTAGGTTTTTATTATAATTCTTTTGTGAAAAGTATTAGTTTTATTAAATGCAATATTAAAAACCACAAAGGGTAAAATTTTTATTAAAACTTATACGCGTTTCGGTATTACGTTTTTACATCAGTAAGATAAATGTCAGGGATAGTAAAATTCTTTTTTTTTCTCCATATCTAGCATTTATTCTACACTGTAAAAAATTTCAGATCAAATTACGGAAAAAATACTGTCACTGAAAGAGCAAATCTTTTTTACCGTAAAAAGTACTAGTACTCAATTTGCTGAAATTTTTTGCCGTGAAATTTTACGGTATAAAAAACTTGATATTCCGTAAATTTTACAGTTATATTAATGAATCACTATAAATTAATAAATATTAATGTAAAAATTTCGGTATAAAAATTTTACGGTAAAAAGGGATTTTACGGATGTGTCAGTACTTTTTTTTAGTAACTTTATCAGGTATTTTTTTTACATAGTACTGTAAGAAGGTGTACCAATGTGATACCGTAGCGCGTATAGGTTTTAATCAAAAATTTACCATTTGTGATTTTCAAGCATTGTATTATGAAATTTGATTTGACCACAAAGCAGTACAGTCGTAATTTTTTTTAAAAAAGAAAATATATATTAGCACTGCAATAGCTATCTAGAATGCTAATCATCAAATGCATGCATGTACTTTTTTTAATTTTTCCAAATAAATTTTTTTTAAAACTTTCAAATGAACAAACATTAAAAAACACATATAGATAATTTATCAGTGTTGCTTTACTATACATCGATGTGGTTTTAGAAATTTTCTTTGATATTTTTTTATTTTATTCATGCTTTTTTTCTTCCTTAATTTAAAGAATTGTTTCACATATACATGCGCACGAAATATAAAATACTTAATAATTTTTTTGCTAAACTTTTACAAAAGATATATTTTTCTTACACATGGTTTGTTCGATTTCTTCTGCTTCTAAGCTTTCAACTTTTCTGCTCACGCTTGTCACCTGTACTGCGTATCGTTCGCCGGGAACGAAATCTTTGATTTCGCATGATGTGGTATTGACGAAACCTATTTGGAAAAAAGGGAAAAACGGCAAAGACTATAAAAATCCTT